GGAGGAGGAGGAGGAGGTTTCAGAAACCACAAGGCTCCACACCAACACGAGAAACAGGACAGGGAGGTCGGTTTAAATGTTGTAAGTTAGCATATACTGGAAAATATGAACCGTTCTAAGTTGTGGAGATTTTAAACCTGTGGACGTCGCCCATCTTGATGGTGTGAGTAGCAATATTCGCTGATTCGTTCCCCGTCGTTGTGTTCATGTACGTGCGGTAGAAGCGTTAGTCCAGTCTGACCTCTCCAGGCAGAGGGCCCGATAACTCACAAACGACCATTAACCAGGGTTTTATGCTTCTTTGGCCTCCATGTTGCTGTTGGACATAATTGCTTAGAGCCAGTCTGCAATCACACCACCTTCTCATGGAGCCAATGTCTAGCGTCAGAAATGATTTGACACGTCTCGACTTAAATAGCCGTCCGGGCACCCTACACAAATGCTAAGGTTTGGTCGGACCACCAGGCCGATTAGCAGGTGTTGGGCCTATAGGACCCTCCAACTCATCAATGATCTTACGCCCATGAATTCGCAACCTACATCAGGCAACCAATACAACTTGGGTGTCAGCAGACCAGAGCATGCGCACGGCCAGACGTCAGATAGAGAGGCAGACAGACAAGCCAATCAAACTCCCTCTCTTTCGCACTCTGCCAATCAGGCACGAATTAACCAATGCAGTGTGCTAATTGGTAAAAACCCTGTACGTTAACCAATCAGAGATGGAAAGGAGAACGAAGCCCGAGTAAAAACGAGCCACGAAGTAAGCTCGCTCAGTCCTGTGCCGTTTCCCTTTTCGCCGTGTCGATCGAGGGCAACCGTAGAGATCCTTCATAATGGTAAGTTCGCTGGCAATTAGTCTGACCCGCGAAATGTAGCGTGAATGTATCAGCGTACATGTTGGCCAAGCCGGAGTCCAGATGGGCAATGCCTGCTGGGAGCTCTACTGTCTGGAGCATGGCATCCAGCCCGATGGACAGATGCCGAGCGACAAAACTATCGGCGGAGGCGACGACTCCTTTAACACCTTCTTCAGCGAGACTGGTTCTGGAAAACATGTACCCCGTGCTGTCTTCGTAGATCTGGAGCCCACAGTTGTGGACGAGGTTCGCACTGGCACCTACCGTCAGCTATTCCACCCTGAACAATTGATCACGGGCAAGGAGGATGCTGCTAATAACTACGCTCGTGGCCACTATACCATCGGGAAAGAGATCATCGACCTCGTGCTGGATCGTATCCGCAAGCTGTCGGACCAGTGCACGGGTCTTCAAGGGTTCTTGATTTTCCACTCTTTCGGCGGCGGCACAGGTTCTGGCTTTACCTCGCTGCTGATGGAGAGATTGAGCGTAGACTACGGGAAGAAGTCTAAGCTGGAGTTCTCAGTGTACCCAGCACCCCAGGTCTCGACGGCCGTGGTTGAGCCATACAATTCGATTCTGACGACGCACACGACTCTAGAGCACTCTGACTGTGCCTTCATGGTGGATAACGAGGCCATCTACGATATCTGCAGGTAGGTGTGTTGTCAGTTTCAGCAATAACACAAATTGTTTTTCTTAAGGCGAAACTTGGACATCGAGAGACCAACATACACGAATCTGAACCGTCTGATTAGTCAGATAGTGAGTTCGATTACAGCGTCCCTGCGTTTCGACGGCGCTCTGAACGTGGACCTGACTGAGTTCCAGACCAACCTTGTTCCTTACCCCCGTATCCACTTCCCTCTGGCAACGTACGCGCCGGTGATCTCGGCTGAGAAGGCCTACCATGAGCAGCTGAGTGTTGCCGAAATAACAAACTCTTGCTTCGAGCCGGCAAATCAGATGGTCAAGTGTGATCCTCGTCACGGCAAATACATGGCTTGCTGTCTATTGTACCGCGGTGATGTTGTGCCGAAGGATGTGAATGCGGCGATTGCAGCCATCAAGACGAAGCGCACAATCCAGTTTGTAGATTGGTGTCCGACCGGTTTCAAGGTTGGCATCAACTACCAGCCGCCGACGGTAGTGCCGGGTGGTGATTTGGCGAAGGTTCAGCGTGCAGTGTGCATGCTGAGCAACACGACGGCGATTGCCGAAGCGTGGGCCCGTTTGGATCACAAGTTTGATCTGATGTATGCCAAACGCGCGTTTGTGCACTGGTATGTGGGTGAGGGCATGGAAGAGGGCGAGTTCTCTGAGGCGCGTGAGGACTTGGCTGCCCTGGAGAAGGACTATGAGGAAGTTGGTGTGGACAGTGCGGAAGCCGAGGAAGGAGAAGAGGGTGAGGAGTATTAATCATGTCGCCGGTTGTACTGTTCTTGAGCGTTTTTATGTGGAATTAAATTTTATACGGTTACAACCTTGTCTTTGTCCGTCTATTTGGGGTCAGCGGGATTTTCAGCGTGCGCATGCTTCTGACTGGCGTTCTTGGTTAGCTTCTCTCTCCATTTGCGGTTGTCGAATTGCAGTGCCGTCTGCAGTTCTCGTCTCTGCCTCAACGATATCGAGGCTCGGGACGATTCTTACGTTGGAAGCATCATGGCTTTCTCGACCGAAAGTTGGGTTTTAATAGTTCCGCATTGCCGGTGTGGCTGCCCACTGGCCCGTACTCCATGATGAGCGAGCCCGTTCTGTCACCGGTTGTGGATGTTGTAGAAGCTCGGGTCACTATTGCTCCCCTGACGGCCAACTGTGTAGTGGCAGCTGTTCCGAGCGTCATTTATTCCTCGGCCAGCGCGCGCTTAGACCAGATAGCCAGGATCCTATGGTCGTTTGCACGCGAAGATTAAGTGCTTTGCCCCGTCGTATGGTTAACTGCGTGGGTGGATTCCTGGGAGTCCAAGAGGCGAAGGTTTGTTTGTTGATGATGGAGCCTTCGGAGCTAAACATATCCTCTGGCAACGGTTGTGGTCGCCCATGTCATGACTCGTCCGACAATCATGTCTTCCGCCTTCCTGGGTGTCCGGAACATCATTTTAGCATAAATCAATTTTGAGTATTCACATAACGGGGAATGCAGTTGGAGTGCGTTCGCGGGCGAGTCACAGTAAACTTGTTGGTCGGCTTTGTTCATTGGGAGGTTGCCCGTCAAGTCTGGCTTTAAGCAGTTCTGTTGTGAGGGACGACCTTTTTAAAAATTACACAGTCAGGCCTCCTATCATAGGTTTTGCCGACGGATGCTGAGTTTCGTGACCGAAGTGTCTGTTGGTTGAATGCAAGTTTCCCGCAGTCTAGTCGCGTACGCCCTGCATTGATGGCCGCGTTAGGTAATTGTACCTACGAGTACGATAGATCGTCCAGGCCGTCCTCGTCGTCCCGAGTTACACCTGGTCGAGGAAATCGCCTCTCCGTCCACTGTATACAGGTTGACATTCCTTGTTCCAAATGGAACTCACAACGACGCATACAATACCTTAGCCGCACTTTAGATGTACGTCTGCTCCAGCAGGACGTGCTAGTTGCTTTCTGCCTCGCCTTTTTACAGTGTTTCGATGTCATCAGTTTCAGGGTCGTTCACATCCCCAGATTAATATATTTAAATGTGGTACCCGTGTTTTAGGGATAGTTTTCGGCAGCTTTAGAATGTAAGACCACGGCCAAAAATCACCGCCATGACCAGGGCGTACTATCGCTCCACCACCGTGCCATTTCTCATTCATAGCAATTTCTCCCGCCTGTCTGATTTGGTGCTCAACGAGGTTCATCCTGTCGCCCATTCTGTCCAAATACACCATTGATTAGATTCTCCGAAGAGCCCTGTACGATTTTGATAGTATGGAGCTTACGCTCGGACGTTGACTGACCGGTCTAGGCTACACTGATGTTATCGCCTTGCTAGCCTCGGGCTCTCTTGATCTACAGCCTGTGGTGTGACGGGTGAATGTAGTTTCTACCTCGGTCGGTCTACCCATAAACGCCAGAAAGACCAAATTGCCTTCGAGCTGCATCCCTGATCAGGAGATGGTACCCCTCCGGATTAGTGACTGCCAATTTGAAGCAGTAGATAGTTCCAAATACCTCGGGGCGAGGTTGCTGCCGGACGTACAGGGTAGGGACGACATTCTCTGTCGAATTGATGCCGCTCGCAGGGTTTTCTCAATGCCATGGACCAGATGCAACGTCTCCGTCGCTATAAAGATCCGCCTGTACCGTGCATACGTTCGGTTAGTCCTCTACAGTTGTGAATGTTCGGCTTTGCGCGTGGAAGATAAGCGAAGACTGAAAGTATTTGACCACCGCTGCCTGATGAACGTCCTCCGATTCAGACAGTCCGCGAAAGACGACTGAGACGATTCGTCCATGTTCTCCGTCGCCCATCTCGCTATCTCAGTTATACTGCTCTCTCGATCCGACGCTACTGGCCGTCGAAGGGGGAGTCAAATCAAGAACTGGCTTGACACAGTTCGTTAAGACACGGAAGTGGCTCTCAGGCCTTCTGTGCTTGGTGTCTGTCGCTGGAGGGTAAGGTGGGTCGAGATGTCCAGAGGCGCTGCTGCAAATCGTCACGCGTTGAGAGGTACATAAGGCATGAACACGAATCCCCAAGTACAAGTAAGACCATCCACTTTAACAAACTGAATTTTAAGAGTCAGCTGTTTTTTGTAGTTCTTGCCGACAATATCAAGGAAATTAGAATGACCACGTCTATGTTTATCCCCATCAGTCAGTGGCACCCCAACCCCTGACTGCGCTTCCGAGGTCCAAACCCGAGCCTTGCAATTCCGACGGATCTGTCCATGCGGACTATTGCCCAAGAAAGACCGTTCTGCACTTATTGCTCGTTATCACACAGGCAGGTTTTCTATAAGGATTCACAGCTCTGCCTTTAGATGTCTGGAACTATCGGTTTTTGACCGTAGGTCTTGTCTTCCTAAGCAGGATGTGGCAAGCTTAATATCACGAATGCGATGAAAATGCCTACTCCACCTTCCCTCTAGTCCATACTTCCGTCAGTCGTTGGTTGCGTGCTTTAAACGTTATAAATGTCGAGGCTGAACCCCGAGAAGAATTCCGAATCCTCGGTCGCGGAAATGGGAAGGATATGAAGATTGCTTTACTCTTATTTTTGAGTGCTTGTTGCTGTTTCTGTTGTGCTGTCTGGTAAGTCTTTTAAGGACTTTTGCACTCCAAAACAGCAGTTTACCGATTATTTCCACTAACTTCATGGTCTGGTAGGGAATGAAACGTGTCGTGTTTTTTCGTATGCTAGCTAATGCGTGTCTTAGCAAATCAGGCGCTGTTGCAGGGTTGCGGTGGCATGTTATGCGGTAGCCACACGTGCGTGAACGTTTGGCGAAGACATCTGCGTTGGCTAAGCAGTTGCGCGCGCCTATCGATCGATAGCTTCGCCGTCACACGAATATGCCCAGCCAAGGCTTGTCTGTGCGTGTTTTTGGCGCTCGCGTCGACAGTCTTAATCGTGTCGATCACACGCGCGCGCTAAACCGCAGGAGCGCTCGACGGCTACATAAATCATGGGCTTTCACTACTATTGGGGTAGACCCGTAGGAAAGTTGCGCATCCATACAGAGCCAACCAGAGCGAGCGGATGAATGGTCTAGCAAGAGGAGACGAAGTTGGCTGACACAGATTTATGATTGAGCCGACCCTTTGGATATCCGGGTCGGCTGACGACTCTTAAAACATTTATGGCGCCAGCAAATGTACTAGCAATCCAAATGTGTCGGCGGAGGGCAGTGAAGCCTTCGAAATGACCGTCAAACCTGACGACCCATCGGACGAGATCGTAGTTAGGCTGATTCTGACAATTTTTTCAAGTCATCGGCGAGCATCGTGTCCTGGTCGTTGCGTAGGTAAAATGGTGAAGGGTTGGTAGGTCGGAGGCGGGTTGATGTGCCGGCTGCTTGGACCGCCATCTGAAGATCAAGCCTCCACTAAAACCACAAGTTCAGGCCATGGACAGGGCATCCTTCGTTGTTTTAATCGAAATGGTTTATGTAGAACCGTTATTTATGAGTTAAGATGACTTACAAGTTCTTTCAGCGCCTCACTGCAGCTGCCGTCTGATCATGCTTGAAATATTGGCTCCCTTAAAAAAGTAGTGATATAATAATATACTTTTTGCAGAACTGATTGTCCCGACAACTTTTGTCGCAAGTGATTACTATGATTTTGGAGTAAACGTGCTAGGTAGCCATGTTTAATCACGTTCTGAATTCGTTGGTCGCCTGCTTTAAACGTCATTAGCGTTGAGGCTGAACCCCAAGAAGAATTCCGAAACCTGGGTCGCGGAAATGGAAAGGATGTGAAGATTGCTATATTCTTATTTTTCAATGCTTTTTGTTGCTGTTCCTGTTGTGCTGTCTGGCAAGACTTTTAAAGACTCCTTCTGCACTCCAAAACAGCAGTTTACTGATTATTTCCGCCAATTTCATTGCCTGGTGGGAAATAAAGCGCGTTGTGTTTTTTTCGTATGCTAGCTAATTCGTGTCTTAGCAAATCAGGTGCTGTCGCAGGGTCACGGTAGCATCTTATTCAGTAGTCGCACATGACCGGGAGATGACGGCTGTCAACTTGAGGAATTAGACACTTCGAAGTATTTCTTGACGAGGTTACCGCCGAATGAATAGGAGTACGACATTGTCTCCCGAATCAGTGCTGATCGTAGGCATTTCTCAATCCTTAGAAAGTGCCTATGTACCCGATGAGAGTTCACTAGGACAAATCGGTGAGAATGTGATTTCAGATTGGCAAAGTCGAGAGATTCGAGTTGAGAGTTTCAAGTGGGTTCATCGATACAGGGCTTTTTGTAATGCTTACCTTACGTCAAGCTTGGTAGTCTCACCAATAAATCTGTTCTGGTGATCCCATCTTATTTTTTGGAATAGGGTGTGTAACCTCGAGACGGGACCGCTGTCGAAACTACAGACTAAGGGCGACGTTGTCACCCGAATCGACGTTGTTTGCAGGCCTTTCTCAGACCTTAGAAAGTGCCTATGAACCATATGCACATTGGTTGAAACAAAGGCGAAGGGCGAATTCTGAATTTCCTAGGACAAATTAGTGAGAATATGGTATGGTACCGCCACAAGTAGTTATTCAAAAGTCAACCTTCTTGTCTTATTTAGGTAAGTGTGATTCATAACTGTGTGCCTGACAAGGGGTCACGAAAAGGGCTATGCGATGCGCGGATTTTCAACTTCACTAGCGTTATTTACGTTAAAGTCGCCTGTGTCGGAGTCAAGGTTGGGGTTACTGTTAGGTGTTGGGTTATTCTTAGGACTATGGTTGCTAGGTTTGGGTTACGGTTTGGTGTTGAAGGCAAGTTTGTTGTT